AAATAAAAATAAGTCATTTTTTTAAACGGAAGAAGTAACTGTATAGGTGACAAAAAATTTTATGATAAAATGATTGCATGTATGTAACATATGCTTAACTCAATTTTAAAATCTAGCTCAAGAAGTGAATATTATTGAAGGCTATATAAATTTGAGTTTTAAAGTTTGAATATTCCATGATTTAATTACATTGGTAATATTCTACTTTTCTATTAATGGGAATATATATATATATATATATATATATATATATTTACATTGTTGCATTCATTTCGTTTGAGCTTGAAATTACCTCAAAAAAGTATTATTGGTAAGTATAAAAATTGTTTTGTGTCCATTCTTCAACTGGATTTAGTGAACCCAATTTAGTTGTTTCTACCAATGACTTTCATAGTTTTCCGGACAACTACTGAAGTTGTTTGTGGAAATAACAAACATGTTTGTCAGATACAAAAATTGTCTAACAACTGTCTGTAATTGTAAGACGATTACAGAAGTTGTCACAACAACAACTGTAGTTATTTGACAATTGTGTTCAAATGTTGATCAACTGATTAGTTGTTAGGATAAATAATATAATTTTTAGTCTATAATGTACTACAACTGTTTTTTGTTGATCTTTTTCAGTTAATTTTAACTATTTTAGTGTAGATATAATGCTTCAACATAAGAGGAAGAGAACTAGAACATCATCAGCCAGTCCAGACGCTAGAAAAAATGTTGAGAGCTTAATTGCTGCTAGAAAAAGAGGTATCATAACACTTCAAAGTATCAATGGACAATCATCTGAAGAAAGAAAAGTGATGAAAGTAGTAGCGAACAATCTAGTGAAATGAAAAAAAAAAGTAGTTGTGAGATATCAAGGAAAGAAAAATGTTATGAGAATAACAGGAAAAATCAACTGAAGAGAAAAAAGATGGTGAGAGTGATGGAGATGAATCGAGTGGAGAGGAAAAAAGTGACGATAATGAAAGTGAGAAATCAGATAAAAAGGTAGAAGAATAAGATAGAATTGTGACTGATGATATTGGTGGTGATGGTAATTCAAAAGGTATTGAATCCTCCCTAATTTATGTCAAAAATTATTTTCAATGATAAGCATAAATTTAAGACCCACTTGAATGTGTCTGGGTCTTATGATTTAAGAATCAATGTAAGAGTTGATTTATTTAGTTTAAATAAAACATATGAAACTGAATACTACAAGACTGGCAAGGACAGTCTATCTATAAAGACTCTATTGTATAAAGATAGTTATGAGAACAAAACCCACGACACCTCAAAGAGATATTACTAATAAATCATAAAACTAGAATCCTTCTAAAGCAAGGAGGCCTCACCAAAAGCTAACAAACGGATGATGTGATCTAAATGAAACTCATGTTGATGATCCTAAGTACCTGAATCTGCACCATGAAAATAATGCAGGTCGAATGACATTAGTACATTGAATGTACGAGTATGTAATAAGGCTGAGTGAAACAACAATTGGACTAAAAGACTGAAATATAACTCAACTAAAGTAAAGCATGAATATGAGATAAAATCATTTAAACTTCACAAATATAATGCATAATAGCAAATTCTGAGCTAAATTGGAATATATATATATATATATATATAATACTCTTTATCAATTTCAGTATTTGACTTGTAGAGGTTTTTGCCATCTTGAATAGACACTTCTGTTTATTTTTCTAGCAAAAATAAATTCAAATTCAAAGTGTTCAAACACACAAATGTATAATTTTGATTTTTATTCATAGAAGACTTATATATGCTTCTACATTTAACTTCATTAGTTTTTTTATTTATTATAGAATTGGTCAATATATAATAAGATGATAACATTATTGTCTAGAGAAATAACTTTGTTGACAAGCGAACTATCTCTTTCATGCTTGATAATATTACTAATCTGATTATTTCAAATTTCATATTATATTACGTAGAATTTCTGGACTTGAGTTCGAGACTTGAAAACTTTGATAATGGTAAACAAATTTTAAGCATGTTATGTAAGTCGTGGTTGGTGGTGTTTGATAAACTATGAACAAACTAATTTTTTAATTGTCCATGCATGTGAGATTGTACTTTTCTATTTCTTCAATTTCTCAAGTGTTATTAAAATTTTGATTTTTCTTATTTATTTTTTTCTTTTTGAAGTCAAAGTTTGGTGCTTCATCACTTTCAAATAAAAAATGTCTTAAATTAATACACAAAAGAAAACAAAATTTTATAGCATAACTTGAAAGGTCAACTTGAACATATAGATAACGGCCGTTAAGTTTGACGGAGGAATTTTCTCATTAGATTATGGAGAGTTGGTGGATTAATGTTAATATATTACTGCAATTGGGCATCAATGTCAAAGCTATTATGTGGCTGCCACCTTTTTAGAGATCTATCACATGTTATATTATCTCATAATCATATATAAGCCGGCAAATAAAAAGTATCTTTATAAACTACTATTGATTTAGGGGATAATGGACTTATTTTTTAATTTATTATTACTTTCATTTTAATTTATGTGATGCGATTTGATTTGACACAAAATTAATTTGTGTGACTATAAATTATTTTATTAAAAATAAAATAAATATTTTAAAGTTAAATTGTTACTAAATTAGAAACATGTTATTCTTTTTCAGATTGACAATAAAGAATGTATCACGTAAATTTGAATAAAGAGAGTACTTTTTTTCAATTTGATACTATGTATTATTTTTTGTGTTGTTGTTACTGTTTTTCTTTATTATTATAGGTGGTTTTATTGATGCTGATATGCTTTATTTGTGCCGATTGTCTATCATAAATAAATTTTTTATTTTCATAAGATAATATGTATACATCATTTTTTAGACTCTATTTATAAAATTAGACATATATGGTATTATATTGATTTTAGGGTTAATGGTCTTGCTTTTGTTAGGTGAAAAGTTTTACTAGTTGATGGTAGGATTAATGGACTTCACTTTTCTATTTGGTTACATTTCGCAATTATAGTGTTTTAAATGTTATCTTTTTTTTTTTTGGAAACAAAGAAAATAATTACCACTATTATATAAAATAAATTATTGTTCTACTATAAATGTGTCCCCATCTGAAAACCATCCACCAACTAATTAATATGGGAAAGGAATTATTAAACCATATCACCAATTACATTTTCAATTTATATGATATACTATTTTTTTTGTCAGTTAAAAAGAAGAAGATATATTCTTTATTTAATAACAGTTTAACTTTAAAATGTCAATTCTAACTTTAATGAGATTATCTATAGCAATATAGACACATGAAATTTATTTTAGATCACAAATTTCAAAAAAAAAATTATGTTTTTAAACTCTATACACAATTAAACTATATCATACAAATTAAGACGGAAAAAATAGTATATGTTAATTAACTTCCCTCGTTGAATGGCTAGAATTTTTCAAACCATATACTATATTATAAAACTAAAAAAAAGGTACTAAAGAGGACACGAATGTAAGGTTATATGTGATAAGGAAACTAATAATAAGTCTTGAACTGCACCTACCACACTGCTGTGCACCCTATAAAGCACAAAAGGCCAAAATGACTAATGTTTTGAATAAGTAACTTAAATAGTCGTTGAATTAAATAGCTAATTAATACATATGATTATATATAATCGTCCGAAGGTTAAATTATAAGGAAGTGCAGAATTTAGCAATTAACTCATTATTCAATAGGCTCGACTGCTTTAAATCTAATAGTGAAAGGGTACAATTTTTTCTTTAAAATTTAAAATATTCGATGAAGGCTCGTGAATATTTGAATACCTCAAATGTAAATATATTTAACGAGTCATATGTTTTCAAATGTGAAAAGTTGCTGAAGATACTTCACTACACATGCGTTTTTACCATTTTGGTTATGAAAAATCGATTTGTCCCTCAATCAACACCATTTCGATTAAAAACTTAGCTAGCTACTTTAAATACTTATTATTTGTTTCTTATTATATACGGTTTCAATTACGGGTTCACTTCGAAAAAACCCTCAAAAGTGTTTGTTATATTTAAATTTCAAACGAACCAAACAATAAACATAAAGCGCCTGTAGCTCAGTGGATAGAGCGTCTGTTTCCTAAGCAGAAAGTCGTAGGTTCGACCCCTACCTGGCGCGTTTTCTTAATTATTTATTTTATAGCACGTTTTTATTTATTTTAATCTTTTTGGGAATAAATGCTTTATTTGTTATATTCTTTACTTGAGCTTAGTGTTTATCGAAAAGAACTTCTATGCTCTCCGTCCTCCTATGCAAGCAAATTCCGCTTCTATTATCTCTGCTCTAGGTTGACTAATGATTCTTAGGTTCATTTATTGAAAACAACCTCTCTACTACGATATCTCTCTCTGCTCTAATAGCCTCCTCTTATATATGATTCACAGTGTTCATTTATTGAAAACAACTTCTCTACCTTCACTAACATTCATTTGTTTCTTCATTATATTCCTCCAAGATTAAACTGCTTGCATTGAGTCATTTTCTTGCACTACATTTTCTCTATTCAACCTAGAATCCTACCAATCACTTAATATAATGTATGTATGGACCTATGACCACACATTTGCATATAGCTAAATAAGTTTTCTAGGATTGGACAAGGACATACAATGCAAGTAAATAAGTATTCCCACAACTCCCAAATAGTGGAAATAAATATTCAGGTTTATGACCACTTAGAGCGTTTTCTTATGTTGACTTGTTTTTTCTTGCATACTCACTCAGAATGTGTGTATCAACTGGTTTAGGAGACGAAAGAGCGTTCAACATCTATCTATAGACAGTAGTGGATTGAAGAGTTTGAAAAAACTATATGTCTCTGTGTGTTTGTTTTGCTTGTAAATAACTAATACTAAGGAAGATATAACTAAATCAAAACAAGCGCGCGCATGTAGCTCAGTTGATAGAGCATCTGTTTCGTAAGCAGAATGAATTTCAACAATCATCTCGATAGAACATTTTTCCAGTGAAAGTAGAATGCTATTATGTCATTACTAGCAAACAGGTGCAGCATTGAACAAAAGGAAAGTTGAACGTGGAAACAAAATTAGTAAATAATAGTAGAGGAGAAAGAGTGGCTGTAATACTGGAGGACCAATGAAGGCTGTAAACAAAACGCTTGTTCATTTGATCTTCTTTACGACTTAGGCTTCAAGCATTGCAAGTCTGGCTTTCAACTGATCTCTCTCTGCTTCTGCTGCTTCAAGGATTTTGTTCAATTCTTCGACATCATTGTTCTTCTTGACAATGCTTGCCAATAGTTGCTCAACTTCCGATGCAAACAAAGTCTCTGCTTCTATTCTCTCTTCTATAGCTTGATTAAGAACCTCATCTATTAATGATTGGCAGCGTTTATTTGATTCTTCATTATATTCCTCCAAAGATGATATATCCTTCTCGAGTCTGAAAATTTCAGCTTGAAGCTCCAAGTTTTCTTCTAATAACGCCTTGTCCACATTTGATGGTCTTGACTCTCTCACTTGTCTAAATTCCTCATCATCGTCATGCGCATTATCTTCATAGCTCGAAATTCCACCCTGCAACATTGAAACAACTCGATCCCCTTCCATCTGTATGTAAAGTTTCTCTATCATATCGCATAGCTCAGCCTCCAACTCATCAGTCCCCTCATGTTGCAACTCTTCATCATCATCATCATAGTCATCGTCATCATCACTCTGAGATTCCACGTAGCACTTGAGATACCCTGGTTTCTTCGGACGTTCAGGCTCTTTAACAGAATAGCACGTTGGACGTTCAGGTTCTTTTGGACCTTCAGGTTCCTTTGGACGTTCAAGCACTTCAAAATAAGTGCACGGGTAAGCTTTAGGTACATTCGGACTTTTAACAGAGACACGGCGTTTTAGTTGCTTAGAGACTGAGCACTCAGGAGCATTTATCTGCTTAGAGCTAGGGGATTTAGATAAAAGAGGCCGGGATTGTATTGCAGAGCTTTTTCCTGAACTAACATTGGATATGATAATGTCACTGCCTTGTGATGGAATAACATCTAAATTAGGAATATTGATCAGAGGCTCTCCTGTCGCATGATTATGGCGCTTAGCCAATGAACGATGTATGCGGTAGCACTTATAAACAAGGTCGATTAATTCTTGTCTACTCTGATGATACATTTCCACCTTTTTAGCAAATGACTCTGCATTTGAATCTTCAATGATTTTCAACATCCTTCTAAAATTCCAGTTCATCTCTGAAATATCAAGTAAACTCGATCGAATATGTATGTATGGATCTATCTATCACTTGCAAATAGCTAATTAAATAAGCAGTAAAAACATCGACAAAAATAACTTACCTTCAAGATTATCTTGAAGCCACTGGGACTTGCTGTTTTTGGGTCCTAAGAAGCTATCCAACTCTCTGGGACGTTGTAATTTCTTTGATTCCATCTTCGTTTTGATCTGGCGGTACAACCAGTAATAAACCACTTCTAATTAACTCCCATCCATCCACTTATTAGGATATATATTATTAATCATGCGTTTAGATATGATAACAATTGTCATGGTCGATCCATTCAAAATTTCTTGATTTTATTATGTCAAACACTTGCTTGAAGTAATGCAGAAAAAACAAAGTTACATCTGTATAAGTAAATACATAAAACTAACATATTTTCGACATCTAATTTAATGAGAAGAGATTGAAAATTTTGAAAAATGTTACCTTTAAGTTTGTCTTGAAGCTTCTAATATTGAAGGAAACTGACCCAGACCAAAATTAGTCTTGAACTATTCTACATAGCTCTCAAGTTCTGAGTCTTCAACAACGTGTTAAGACTTTCTATTGTACTTGAATGTTTTGGTTTTTAAAATTTATTTAAGAGGGTATATGAGATTGCATTAAATAGACGTACGAAGACAAATGGGAGGAATAAATTTTACAAATATGAATGCATTCATGTTGGTTGTTGAATTGGTACATACTCTATTATTAAGTCAATAACAACAAAATCATTATCAGTATAAAATTATGAATGCATTCATGTTGGTTGTTGAATTGGTACATACTCTATTATTAAGTCAATAACAACAAAATCATTATCAGTATAAAATTATGAATGCATTCATGTTGGTTGTTGAATTGGTACATACTCTATTATTAAGTCAATAACAACAAAATCATTATCAGTATAAAATTATGAATGCATTCATGTTGGTTGTTGAATTGGTACATACTCTATTATTAAGTCAATAACAACAAAATCATTATCAGTATAAAATTATGAATGCATTCATGTTGGTTGTTGAATTGGTACATACTCTATTATTAAGTCAATAACAACAAAATCATTATCAGTATAAAATTATGAATGCATTCATGTTGGTTGTTGAATTGGTACATACTCTATTATTAAGTCAATAACAACAAAATCATTATCAGTATAAAATTATGAATGCATTCATGTTGGTTGTTGAATTGGTACATACTCTATTATTAAGTCAATAACAACAAAATCATTATCAGTATAAAATTATGAATGCATTCATGTTGGTTGTTGAATTGGTACATACTCTATTATTAAGTCAATAACAACAAAATCATTATCAGTATAAAATTATGAATGCATTCATGTTGGTTGTTGAATTGGTACATACTCTATTATTAAGTCAATAACAACAAAATCATTATCAGTATAAAATTATGAATGCATTCATGTTGGTTGTTGAATTGGTACATTATTGACTTTTCTTCAGAACTCTATTATTAAGTCAATAACAACAACATTATCATTATCAGTGTGCTGAAAGTAGAGAAGTTATTTCTCACCAACTCTTAACTCTTAAACAGGTAAACACTGTTATAATGTCATTTGCAAGTATGGATCATAGTTTGGATAATTCTCAGTCTCTCAAACAAATCAATAAAATCTCTCTTCGGCTTAATTAAATCTGTCGTTAAGTATTAGAAAAGGGTCAAAAATATATTTCAACTATTTGAAATAGCAACGTGTTAAAGACTCTCTTGGACTTGAATATATGTGTCATTTTTTATTTATAAGGGTATATGCGTTTGCAATAATTAGACATACGGAGACATATGGGAGGCGGAGCAGTAAATGTGAAAAACATGTCAAACGTCGGTGGTTGAATTGGTACGTTTCATTGATCAACATCATGGTTAGTGTGATTCCACAAGTAAATCTGAAAAAAGATAGCAGAAAAATTATTTTCAATAAATTGTTGACTCAAACTCTATTATTAAGTTAATTTTGATTTTCAATTTCTATTTTAAAATGTTTTTTCTTAAACTAAAAGCTTTATCAACCACCTCAACTTTGATAGGGGGTAAAAAAAATTCACCTAGGAGAACATTTGGGCCACAAACAGGCTCATAATTCGTTAATTTGTCTAAACATTCTACACAGCTACAAGTGGAAGATTGACACGACTAGAAATCAACTTTCTACCTTAAAATTTATGGATCTTTTATTAATGCTTATCAAAAATTACATTTCATAGTTTCATATTCCAATTTTTCAATGACCAAGGTGACCTCTGGAAGCAAATCACTACAAAGATTACATGTTCATCTACTGCACACAAAAGACAAATCTTTGTGGCCATCTGCTGCATGCAGAAAGAGACTAACATCATCTTCGGCCATTGCATGTGCAACAAGATTAGCAGTTGAATATAAGCGGAAAACAAAAGTATAGCCACATTTTATAGAATTAAACAAGATAACATCTCCCACCAAAGTAAATCTAAACCAACTCTCTTCATAAGCAAAGTTGCACCAAACGTCAATATGTCTCCTCAGGTTAAACACAAAGCAAAACATACAAAACTCCAACACACTATTATGTGAAGAAATTGCCCAACTAACAATCCCCAAGCCGTATCAGGTCCCAGCTTTCCGACGTCCAACACGAGCAACAAAACCAGCCTTGATAGGAGCAACTGATCTTCCAGAGCCACACTGTAAGAAAATAAACAAAACAAAAACAAGTTAACATGAGAAATAAACAATTTAAAGCTAACTTGTTTTCCATTATTCAATATTTTCCTAGTACCCTTTCCAAATTGGAAAAAAGAAACAAGAGAGGAGGAAAAATGCAAACAATTTTTAAAGGTGATCGTGTAAATAAGAAAGCAGCCATTTTCCTCTTTTTTTGAGGTAAAAAGCAGGCAGGCAGGCAGGATTGAAAGAGATAGGGAATACTAAAGCCTTCTTGTTTTTTGATTGGTTAAGAGATGGGAATAATAAAGCATTCTCGAGGGTAGAACAGATATCACATGATCAAAAGCATAAACAATTCATTCAAGAAAAGCAACCCAGTACAACTTCATTAAAAAAAAAAAAAAAACCAGTATAAATAAATTAAGATAAAGGGAAGGCCTGAGATCTCATATTTACTAAGATATATGATCTGGCAATTGAAACTTCACATTTTGTCACAGGATGTCCCAGAAGTAGAGCCTAGAATCTAGAAGCACCAGCACTTGCTCAACGAAAGCCCAAAGAGAGAACTTTATACATCACCCTGCACCGCATGGATTCAAAGGAGACAAAAACCTAATAGTACCTAGACAATCACCTGCCACAAAGTCTATTCTCTATTTGTCTGATGGAAGAAAAATTGGAGCACAAGTTACAAAGATATGTTTTTCCATTCACAAAGTGAAGGTTGAATGCAGATAATTAATGGATATCGCGTGTCTATTTGAATAAATACCTTCTCGCATCGGAGGAAGAAAAGACGGTTCTCTTTTGAAAGGATAGTATCTGGACTTTTACAGCCATTGCAAATAACATACTCATCTGAAAGCGAAAGAACATTGCCGAGAGAAGGCCGTTAGATCGTAGGATGCAGAAGCACATACAAAGCACTATTAATTAATATGTAAATCCAGAACAAATGACGTCTCTAAATAGCTGCAGCCTGCATATATAGATCAGGGATTGACAACAGGAACTTACTGACATATCGGCGGAGGATTCCTTCAAAATTCTTAGGAGCAAATCTTCCCTTGATGACCAATCTTTGCTGCCCATCAAGTGATCCACTAGTCCCCATTTCAGCCAGCAAGAAAGTCATAACATGCTCAGGCTGCCTATGCATCCTGTAAATAGGAAACAATTAATCAAGCAGTGCAATGAGGTATAACATAAACTCACAGGGAATCCAATGATAACCTTTCATTAGTGATACCACTATAATACATTACTATCGATCATGAGACATTATACAGCATGGGACAGTTTCGAAGACCAACTTCAATCAACAATTAGATTTTAAACCATGATCAGTTTTGTAAAATCAAACTCAGCACCTAAGCTCAATCAATAATAATAAACTAACTATATTCTTCAAATTCACACCTTGATCTTCACACCAAATACAATTGTGTGAAACAAATTTCAGATAGAGAAAGAGCCAGTTGCTAGAGGTACACACACAAGCTATTTCAGTGCAGCAATATTCCATCATGTAAACAGTTTGAAGTTTGAGCCAACTTGAGTATTTATGATGCAGGGAGTGGTTTTCCACAATAATAGATAATTTCAGAGTACACAAGATTCCATATATGTTTGGTGTTTGAGCCAACTTGGGTTATTATAATGCATTGCTTGGTTTTCCACAGAAATTGATAATTTCAGGTTGCAGTTATTAGCTTGAAAGCCAAACAAATTATGTGCATATTTCTGTAGCGTCACATAGTGGTGTTTCAGGTTTCCAGGTTCCACTTTCTACAGATAAGAAGATGTTACAGTACTGGTCCGAAAACTAATTAGCACTGTTGAGTTAATACCTATCTCAAGAACACAGTAGCAGGGTGGTTTGCGAGCTATCGCATAGGAGCAGGGGTTTTACCCTGTGCGCACCCAAAGGGTAGCGGCTGCGGGTTTCCCTTGTGATAAAAAAGAACACAGTAGCAGGGTTATCTGAGTTAGTGAAATCATTGTGGCAAATAAATATGCAGGTTTCTACAGAAATTTCATATTTTAACTAGCTAAAACAACTAATGACAATTCTTAGCCAAGTAAGGCAGCTATGTAAAACAAGACTATTTATATTGTGATGGGTGAATATGGTAGTCACTACTCATCACTAGCAATTCTAGCTGTGAGGAAATTGGCATGGTGCAAAGATCATCTACACATTATTACTTACTAAGCAATCAGCATATGATCCCTGTCGTCAAAACAAATAAAAAAAAACATCCATGATGCTGAACATAAAACATTCAATCAAAAACAACAAGTGGATGACAGTAATTGATGCAAAGGCTACAAGGAAAGAAAACCAAGTGAAAAGAACTTACGTCTTGCAAAGATCCATGAAATTCACAAACACAGTTTTCTTTGTGCCTTCACGAAGAACTTGAGGGGGCCTCATAACTGTCCTTCGCCTATCTCCAGCAAGCTCGGGATTGTTCTCACGGAGAATATTGAATACTCTGCCCAGAAGCTGCAGAATCAAAAGCGAAAATCAATTGTCATTAACAAAAAGCCTAAAATCGCACAAGTAGTGTGCATCAGGAAACAACAATCAGAACTACGCCACTAGTTCCATTTAGCAAACAAAGCAGGCAACCTTTGCACGAAGAAGTACAATGGACACCACTTTGGCAATATAGTCCTAGACTTAGCACAGATTCCTTATATTAGAACTGTATACAAATGATAGGGTTATTTAGTTATCCATCAAAAAGTTTACATAAGCATAAGATAACCATCGAAGTACCAAACATTTGACAACTTTTTGACACTTAGGGTGACTTGGTTACACAAACTACACAAGGTTTTTAATCGTATGCCTGGACTGGTTCTGTGAGGTTGTAGTAATGCATTATTACTCGGCACAAGTTCAT